GGAAAAATGGTGAAAGTTGGAAGGAAACCAAAGTTTATTTCTTTGTAGCGTATATTTCCTATAAAAAATATTCCACAGAGGTTACAATAGGAACGTTGAATGAGCGTATAAAAATAGCACTATAAGCAAAATAAATAAGCCTTTTAGCGTAGCAAAAATAAGTGTAATAAGCGTAGTGGGTGACTTAAACCCTAAGTGAATGGTACTGTAACCTGCGTTGAGGTACAGCAAATCTTTTCATTAGGCACTCAATGATCTAGCAGGAGATTTTGTTTTGTCTGACCAATGACAGGTTCGCTACAGAGAGAACCCGCGGGCCTTCAGTGAGATCAATCATTGTTGTCACCCACACTTGGTTAGTGAACCTAGCGATAAGCAACATGGTTTCGTTATTCTACCCGCACAGGATCCACCGAAGCCAAACGGACAATCGATCGAGACATCATGGCCGAAACCAGTTATGCTATTCTCTCATGTGCCACTCGGTCGTCATGTGGTGCAAAGCGTCATCAACATCTTCAAGACGTTGGCATCGATAACTGAGGTCGTCCAAGTGCTCAATGATCCGTTCGTCTTCGGCCACGTCCTGACTGGGAGTCGTGTCGAACTATAGTGAGCGTAAGTAGCAGTGAATTAAGAGCGGAGCCGAGTTCGAAGCCTCATGAGCGTGCAGCGTTTGCAGCGTTAAGCGTTTAGCGCGTAGCGGAGTGAGCAAGTGATAGCTAGGAGTCGAGCAGCATCAAGCCAATACAATTAATTACTGGCTTCGAACGTTCCTTTTTCCAATAACATTTTTAGGTTTTAATTGAAGATGCGCTGGCATATGGCTTAGTAATGGAGACTTAAATCAAATGAACAGTTGAAGATACGTGAATTTCTATCAAATAATAAAAGAAAATCAATAAAAACAAATACAAGTTATGAATTGTTCTTCCCGAAAATAAATCATAAATATCGAAAATTTAATTTTTCTTTGCATGATCAATCTCCAAGACAACAGCTTTCATCCAGGCACTAGCTAGCATCCTTGTGCTATGAGTCGAGCTCTACGCATTGAGTTTTCAGAACTGTGTATTGAGGCGTAGGAGGAGGTTTTTACTTCTTTCTGTGGAGAGGAAGGGGAAGAAATTGTCAGTCGCCTGAAGCTTCCTTTGAGATGGAGTATTTAACAGAGGGGGAAACTTCCCAACTGGTTATTGTCGGAATGGTCAGGCAAGGATCACAACGACCTAGGCGCGGGGAAGTCACTGAATCACCCTACGTGCTTCCACCTTGCCACTTCTGCAACTTATTAATTCTTTCGAGATTTTTCCTCTCTTCGACTCCCCAGCTCACCGTGATATTTTTCACAGTTTTGTGTTATGATCTGAAGGTTAATCGTGGGCAATGAACCAATTGAGAAGTTTCGCCACAAAAGTATAACATAGGTGATCATTAATTAAAAGCAAGAGAAGGCCCGCTATCCTCTGATTAAGAGGGAATTAAAAATATGTATATAAACCAATTGAAGACGGAATTACAATCATAAAGATGAATATAAGGAGAAAGAAGTGATTTCTACAAAGAAGAAAACCACATGGTCCCAGATTGCATGTTTAAAAGTATCTTTGCAGGTTAGGCTCCCAACTACACACATAAGGGAAGGTTGAACACAATTTAGGAAGTAAAGATCAGGGAAAGTGTAGGAAACTATAAAAAAAAAAAATCGAGATGCACAAGGACACAAAAATAACAGGTGTTAGGACGGACGACGCACATGGAGTTAGAAAATTGTTCCCTATGTTAGTGGGTGACTTAAAGCCAGGTGTTTTGGTCACGTCTTTTCCCTTTCTCTAGTAAAAGTGACGTGTTTTAAAGGAAACTAATGTGAAACCGTCTTAGCACATACATTGTTCTACAAAATAAGAAAGAAAAAAATCACGTGGGGCCATGTACTTCACTAATTATTTTGGGACAATAATGATGTCAGATAAATATCTCGTCAGCCAAGTTTTTGAGGAAGGATAAAGGTTTCTGTCACTGATGGAGTACGAGAGATCTGTCTGATAGTCTTTTTAGCGTCTAATCGATCAGTGTACTTTTCTCGATTGCCTTTATTAATCGGAAATTTTAACTGAATTAGCTTATTATTCATTTGACCTTATTATGTTTGTGAGATCCGGGTATACTGATCGATGTACTTATTACAGGGAGGTGTGTTCGCATGGAAAATTATCGATTTTTTTTTTTTTTAATAAATTCTGTATTGTTTAACGTACTTAAGAAACCAATTTAGTTAGCTCTGGCATGATTTGAAACTGTGAGACATTTTCCGGAACACGCCCTAGGAATATGAACCAAGTACGCAGCAGCAACACTTACTCGAGGTGTGCGCCAGTGTCCATGCTGAGGCCAGCAGCGCCGCCTCCGAAGCCGTATCCCTTGGGTCCAAACTTTCGTCCGTGGCAGGTCTTGCAGTACAGGACATTCTCGTGACAGTTGGAGTTGGTGGAGTCCAACATCTTGTTGCACATACCTTAGGGAGGGAGGGGGAAGGAGAAAGAAGGGGGGATGTTGATTAGACTTTTGTATTGTTTTTCATATCATGTGTCTTGCTGATTTCCAGTTGATGGTGAATATTACTCCACTGATTGTCAAATAATGCATTAATTTTTTTTAATACAATACTAATTGACCTTTACAGCAAGGAAAGATTAACTAAATTCCACAACAACACAGGAATCAAATCCTTAAACAACGAGGCATCCGCCATTAACTTACTGCATTTGTAACATTCCTTATGGAAGGAAATATCGCCAACCACCCGAGCTTCGGCGTGGTACACGGACTTTCCGCACTTGGGGCATTTGGGGTTCTCTGGGGCCTTGAACGGCATGTCTGCGGCGATGTTAGGCCTGGGGGGAGAGCGTGCTCAGTGTGAGGCTTATTTTACGTAATGAAATGCCTGAAATTCTCGCCCGCTGAATGATGTTCATGGGTAAAATGGTTGAGTTGAAGAATGAGGCAGATAGAAAAATAAAAACGGATTGATATGATTGTAGTGGGTACGTTTTTTTTGTTTGTTTGTTTGTTCGTTTGTCTTTATTAAGTGTGAGGCTATGCAAAACTCTAGATGATTTTCCTATATAACTGGATGTTATATGACATATATATGCCATAATTTTCTTACTTTAAAAGAAACCAAGTATAGTAATGAGTTGCATTTCTCTTGATGATTATCAGAAATACTCCTTTGCACAGAGCTGCAATGCAAATACATTTTTCCAGTACATTTAAAAGCTAACAAAACAGTTTGCAACTAAAGAATAAACAGTTCATCCTATTGGCAAGAAGCCTGATAATAGTCAAGAGAAACTGCAATTAAAGTACTTAAAGTGCGATTGTAATTTAAACGCAATAGTGGACTACAAATTATTTTCCTTTCTCCATAAATGGATAAGTTCTTTGTAATGTTTGATTTTCGATTCATTTTTTACTTCCCTATACTCTAACGCCCTGTCCAGAAATAGAGTGATGGTTGGCTGCTTGCACTCGCTGGGTATCCCTTCGTCCTCTCATCTTACCATAAGAAATTTCAGATATTGATTCTATTTTTAGAGGAAAACTATGTCTTTTACGAATAAATCGGGAAATATTGCAGCAATTATGTTGCATGTGCCTGTGCCTGCCCGAATCTCCTTACCCACAAGCGCCAGACAGCCAAATAAGGAATTACTCCCTTCGTAACCCCGCGTGTCTGTGTAAAAGAAACCCGCTGCTTCAGAAGCGAAAATATTTTCCCGCAAGTCGACCTCCCTCCCTAAGTAAAGGCGTTATTCATTGTCAATAATAATCACAATCAACTAATTCAAAACCCGTCGGTAGCTGAGTGCCAGAAGCCGACAGGTGCCGAAGGCCGGACTGGCACCCTCGCCTGCCCACCGGTTCACACGCTAATTTTGGCTCCGGATGCCAGCGCCATTTATAGTTGGTGAGGCAGAGCATCCTCGCCCCGGGCGGCCAGGTGTGGGCTGACCCACCCACATCGCCCCGGGGGGAGGGCGTGGGCGTGTCAGATACGAATACTCTATGGATCATTCTAATTTAATTCTTGAAGAATTTGATATATCATTCATAGAAAAGAATTTTCTTATGGTTATAGATGAATATGGATATATAAAAGTAACTACTGAACTCCTTGTTTAAATATTTCCATGCATAATGCATAGCTCTGCATGTTTCTGTATCTCAGAATATTGTAAAGCTAATGTATGAAGGTTTTCATTTACATGTAATCAGTTGATGAATGCTTTGCTTCAGTTGAATATGAGAAAAAAATATATGTGAGCAAACTAACAGCATTCACCTCACCAGAGTAAAAATTTAATCAATGAAAATATTAACCAAACTTGAGTTCAGACTACAGTGACATTCCTCAGTAACTGGGGAGTGATTTCTCTTAAGTCAGGGAGTAGTAACTAGCAGTGATAACAGTGAAGTGACAGTGAACAAGCAGAAGTGAGGGTGAGCTCGATTTTAAGTACGACCTGCCTGGGGGAGATGCTTTTGATTTCTCAGGTAGAGAAGCTTGTCAAGGCACAGACGTCAAAGCATGGCCTTCTCTGTTCCTTTCTCTATAACACTTCACCAATCATCTTTCGTGCCACGTCTCGTTAACAGTTGGGAGTTCAGGTCTGATATTATGTTTCTCTCTCTTCTTCTATCAGCTATCGGTATATCTTTGTCTTCTGTCTCTTACTACATTTTATCTCGCACCAAAAAGTCGCTTGTCTCATGCGGCTTAGCGAGCGAACACGGGATCGTAGGGTTTCGAACTCAAGATGAGATAGCTAGGCTTCGAACTTAGGAACACCAGCGCATAAACCCACCAGCATGCCACCACCCTACAGTACACACCACTATTGAACAAAGCCCCCTTGACTTATCGCTCCACACTCCCTTCGGCGTGGCAGACAGGGCGGCTCAACTACCAAGATGATGGCATTCAACTTGGATTCACT